CTTTAACCTATAATTGTCCTTCCTTTGTTTCTTTCATTTCTCCTGAAATAACAATAACCTTAAGAACTGACAAAGGCACTGTAACAAAAACTATTTTTATTTTTTTAGTTTTGCTCTAGGATACATGTATTCACAGGTAGAGACGGAGAGGGAAAGCAAGAAACCACCCCCTAGGAGGGATGGCCATGCCACAAACCCTTCATTCTCCTCTCAGGATTCTGGGCATGTGCACACATGTGCCCGATGTTCAAACCATCAGATCCAGGACTCGAACTGCGCAGTCGACCATGTGGGATCCAGCCACTTTAGCCTCCACACTACCTGGCTGGCCCCCCAAATATAAAAACTTTGAATTATCTTAGTCCTGTGATAACACACACTCCTGAAAAAAGTATACATTTGTTTACAAAAATCTTACATCTGTAGCTTTTCTCTTTTTTTTCTTTTTTTTTTTTTAAATAATACAAATATATTTTATTTGAAATAAACAAAAATGCTTAGACAGCTCACTGGGTCACTTGGAGTCTTAACGTTTTTTTTTTTTTTTTTTTTTGAGAGGTTTTCACTATAGGGCGTGTGTGCTCGCCAGACAGAGAGACATAGAGACAGAAAGCGAGAAATCACCTCCCAGGGGGGATGGTCACACCACAATCCCTTCTACTTCATTCTCCTCCTGGGATCTTGGGCACACACACACACTCGCCCGGCATGAGTTTTAAGCCACCGGGTCCGGGACACGAACTGCGGTCTACTACGTGGGAGTCCAACGACATAGCCATTACACTAACTGCTGGTTCCCTTGTAGTCTTAACTTTTGTTTGACTGTATTACTGAGCAAAAGCAAAGCTGAAACACCACACTCTTCTTTCTTGACATGTATTTGGAGATACGTAGGAAGGCACTACTTTTTATTTTTTAAATCTCCATTGCCAAAGTTGCACATGCTTGCCGGGACTAGCTTGGCATGAACACTTTTTTTTTTTTTTTTTTGAGTGGGGAAGGCTGTGGATTAGAAATAGACACAATTTACTGTTTTTTGTTTTATATTTTACTCTGATATCTCCTTACTGTGGTTTTTTTGGTTTGTTTCATTTTGTGGGGTTTTTTTTCTTTTTTTTTTTACTTTGGTATTTCTTTTACTCTAGTATTTTTTTTACTCTGGTGTTTTGTTTTATTTTGGTATTTTTTTTACTCTTATTTTATTCAATAATATTCAGCCGGCTGCAGGGAGTCTTCACTTGCCTGATTCTTTCCCCATACTCAAGCCCTATGTTGGGCACCACTTTGCCAGGACTAACTCGGCATGAACACGTTTCTCTGAGTGGGGAAGGCTGTGGAGTAGAAACAGACGCAATAACAAACACACAAAGACACACAAGTGTAGAAAGGGAGGACTGGGTGGGCACAGCTTTTCTGATGGAGAAGTTGCGACCAGAACCAGCCTCAGGTTTATTCTTATAAAGGGCAGAGAATGGGGGAAGGGGAAAATGGGATGCAAAGGGAATGGGTAAGAAGGAAGTGGAATGCTAAGAGAATAAGGGAGGAGAAATTGGAATGCAAAGCAGTTGTTTTTGGATGTAAATCATCTGAAGATGTGAAAATGACTGGCGCCATCTAATTTCTCTGATTTTGGTGGGGGGGGGGCAATTTGATAAAGGCATGTGACTTTCTTTAGCCTGATACTAGGAAGTATCTCGGGGTATTGGGTATCAACAACAGGAAGACAACCATTGACAGCAGGCAGGTGCTGCTTTGTGTGTAGATCCTTCTCAATAGCCCTGCTAGAGTAGTTTATGGAAGCGCGTTTCCGTGTGTGTCTATAGGCCACATGTTTTAATCACATGTTTTCAAATTAGCTGCTCTCCATACATGCTCAATGCTCAAACCATTGAATCCAGTTGTTTTTTTGCACTCCTCTGAAAGAATGTTTAGGAACAAGATATGGGCTGCTCCGAATGTGTGGTTCCGTGGATTTTTTTTTTTTTTTTTTGAAGAGACTCAAAATATTTTAATGGGTACAGCTGAAGTTAATATTAAAGACAAAAGGTCCAATTGCTTCACTTAATTATAATAAACAAAGACATCATTGTTCTTCACCATAAAGTTAGACTTCGCATGGGCAATTTATAGCATATATAAACAGTGGTTTTCCAGCAAAGTACACAATTTGAATGTTCATAAAACAGTTTAGTTTAAAAGATACATACTATCTGGTTAGGAGACAAATTGCCCTTAGTGTCACAAGTTGTACAACATCCATAATGCAGTTTAAAAGATAAAAATTTTCTACTTTGATTTTAACAATAATATTTACCTTTTAAAACAATTCCTTTTCATTGAAAAAAGATATTAAACAAAAATGTCAGTCAAACTATATTTTTAACACAGCACTGTTTTAAGATTTTCTGTACTTTACAGGCGCACCCTTTCCCTTTGCGTGTGCTTCATGGGCTCTCCCAGAGATGCTCAAGGTTTGATGGATGAGTTTGTGGAGTGGGCATGGGTGGTTTTAAAAAGTTCATTAGGGGCCCAGCAGGTGGTGTAGTGGTTAAGGCTCTGGACTCCCACATGGCTGACCACAGTTTGAGTCCCTGATCTGGTGCTTGAAAATCACACCAGATGTGTGTGCCCAGAATCCCAGGAGGAGAATGGAGGTGAAGGGATTGCGGAATGGTCAACTCCCCAGGGATGATTTCTCACTTTCCCTCTCACTGTCTCTCTCTCTCTGGTGGGTGCACATGCTCTGGCGGGGGTGGTGGTGGTTTGTTATTTGGGATTTTAATTTTTGTTTTGCTGATTTTTGACAGAAATGATTCAGTCCTGGGAACCAGCAGTTAGCGTAATGGCTATGTCACTGGACTCCCACATAGTCGACCGCGGTTCGCATCCCGGACCCGGTAGCTTAAAACTCACGCC